GAGTGTATAGATGTGTGTCTGTGCGCGGGTGTGAGGGAGCGGAGCGGTTAGCGCGCTGCGCTACGAACCTGGCGACCCGGTTTCGATTTCCGCTCACGGCCAACACCGGTGACAATTAACCTGAACCGGTTCTGGGCCTCCCCTAGGTCGACTCAGCATCAAATGAGTACCTGTTGCGATGTGTAATCATCGCCACTAAGAAGACAAAGGCGGCCGGGCATAGTGTTGGCCACCCACCCCCTCGTGTGCCGTGCTGGCCTTCATAGGTGCTCGCTAACAGCATTTGCCCCAACAGTCTGTTAAGGCTATACGGGGGATCTTTGTCATTTTTGCGTGCATGCATCTGTTTGCATAGTGGGGAGTACATGTGGTGCATCTGTCCGTCATTTCAGTCAGTTAATCCACAACACTTGCGTCTGTCCCGTGGCCTTCGGCCAGCAGCAAGTCTTCCAGACTTGACGTTCCAGCCTTAAAGTGCACCTAGCCTGGCACAAGCGCCGTGGCAACGTCACGGCCACTTAAGGGCGAACGGCGGCTGCTGCTGTGTATTGGCTTTATCACACGCGTATACATACACATAATTTACACACACACGTACAGACACATACTTTACACACACACACGTATTTTACACACACATACTTTACACACACACACGTACAGACACGTACTTTACACACACACACGTACAGACACATACTTTACACACACACACGTATTTTACACACACACACATACTTTACACACACACACGTACAGACACATACTTTACACACACACACGTACTTTACACACACACACATACTTTACACACACACACGTACAGACACGTACTTTACACACACACACACATACTTTACACACACACACGTACTTTACACACACACACACACGTACAGACACATACTTTACACACACACACGTACTTTACACACACACACATACTTTACACACACACACGTACAGACACGTACTTTACACACACACACACATACTTTACACACACACACGTACAGACACGTACTTTACACACACACACGTACTTTACACACACACACATACTTTACACACACACACACACGTACAGACACATACTTTACACACACACACGTACTTTACACACATACTTTACACACACACATACTTTACACACACACACGTACAGACACGTACTTTACACACACACACGTACAGACACGTACTTTACACACACACGTACTTTACACACACACATACTTTACACACACACACACACGTACAGACACATACTTTACACACACACACGTACTTTACACATACACACATACTTTACACACACACATACTTTACACACACACACACGTACAGACACGTACTTTACACACACACACGTACAGACACGTACTTTACACACACACACATACTTTACACACACACACGTACAGACACATACTTTACACACACACACGTACAGACACGCAGGAGAAGTGTTTCATGGGACGCTCATTGCCTGGTTGGAGTTCGCGCGATCTCGCGAGCAAGCGAGCGCCACCCCGACACGGACGGTCTCTTCCTTGACAACGCTTCACGACTGCTGAGCCCACAACGCGGCAAGCGGCCAGCAACACACAGCGCTAGTAACGTTGTAAGAGATGTCAGTTGATCAGCTTCTAGAATTGAGCAAGGTTCGAGGGAAAGGAGACGGTGGGAGGGAATTCCCAGGTGGAGCAGTGCGAGGGAAGACGCAGAAGAGAAGTGTTGTGACTTGCAGCGTGGTGAGGGCGTGAGTATGGTAGCGGTGGTTGTACTGGGGTGGTGGGTGGCAGTGGTAGTGGCTGAACACGGCGTGGCGGATGAGACCGAGTCCTCGACTTGGGTGGATGAATCAACGGACGGAGCTCACGGAGAAGTAACCATGCTCGTATCGACAGAAGAGCCATACGCTTCCACAGATGCAATCGTTCTCCAGACGGTGTGATTGTCCTTCACGATGAGCACGGTATTAAACTCCAAAGTCTGTGGTCGGAACGTAGAACGTATTGAAATAGTCTGGTGTGCAGATACGTGCATGTGTGTGTGTGTGTCCGTGTTGTTGCGCGTGTGCCTGCACGCATGTTTGTGCGTACGATAGTTCATACGTATGTGTGCAGTTCATACTTTTGTACGTGCATGCATATTTGTGTGTGTATGTGTATATTCTTGCAAGCGTTTGTACGTGTGCGCGCGTTGGTATGCGTATTGGCATACGTCGACGTGTACGGGTGTATGTAAGTGTACGTTCATGCACACATGAATGTACGTGCACGTACACACGGTCGCCAGGATCATCGAACAGCGCGCTAACCGCTGCGCCACCGCTCCACATGCACACGCAGACTCATACTGTGCTGCTTTGCATATTGTAAATGCACCGACTCAAAACTGAGCCATCCCTGCACACTCCCTGCTTCTTGCTCCCTGCTCCTTGCTCTCTGCTTTTTGCTCCCTGCTTTTTGCTCTCTGCTGCCTGCTCTCTGTTGCCTGCTCTCTGTTTCTTGCTCCCTGCTTCACTGCGCCCCTGATCTCTGCCCACTGCTCTTTTGCTGGTCGTGTTCTGCTCCGCTGCTCTCGGCCCAGGTCCCTCTTGCACGCTTCTCGTCTCCCACACCACGCTCACCAAGTCGGTGCATGTCCCCTGGAAGCACGCGACGGCCTCTGGAGTTTCTTGCCACAGCCCAGCCCAGGCCAGCCCAGGCCAGCCCAGCCCAGGCCAGGCCACGGTCGAGCGCCTGGCACGCTCCGGCTGCCCTGCTCCCGATTGCTCGCCAGCTCCCCACGCACTTCGCTTTCGGGACTCGACCAGATCCGGCACAGCTCAGGGTCACGTGGTCGGAGGATGGACGCACACAGCACACGCGTCTTTCAGAGTGCGATTAACAAACAGAACTCGACTACAGCTGTGCAAACACGTGATGCAGAGTAACACATTCAGCTCTAAGCTGTTGGTTAAAATAATATTTGAAAACGTTATAACAAATTAAACTGCACACGTTATGGTCAACTGTGTTGATCAATAAAATAAATGTCGTAAAAATTATAATGGGTTGTATTGTTTAAAACGACATTGTGTTTAATATGTTTGTGTATATTAAGATTGTATCTCTATCGAGAGTGTGTGTTTGACGACATTTGATAAACTGAGTTTCAATCGATGCACGTGTTTCACCCGGTAACTCACGTGACAGGTTCCTAACATTTATCGGCAAACATCAAGACCTTCGTTGTGAAATCATGATGATAATGGTGACCACGCTGATATTAATTGATGATAGGATAGATAAGCAGATGAATCATCTTCTTCGTAAATCTGTCTCTCTAGGTGATGGTGGCGATGATCTGCAACGTTCACTGATGATGATCAGCTGAGCGACGCCGCGGTGAGGAGGTGGTAGTGGCGGTGGCGTCGTTCCAGGCACGGAACCGTGCCCGGCTCCATTCACCAATCCCTGCACAGCCCCCTCGACAATTACCCCTCCCCCCCCCCACTGTGGGGTCATTTCCGGCCGCTCACTCGCTCGCTTGCTGTCCCCCCCACCCCATCAGCTCCCACCCCCTCCCCTCCATCCCTCACATCAACGCCCCTCGACTCCCCCCCATGACCATTGTCGTCCGTCTCCCCAGCTCCACCGCAACCCCCTCCAGCCCCCCCGCCGTCACGAACATCCCTCGGTGGGGAGATGGACGGGTCGCGCTGGGCGAGAGCGCGGCCGCAATAAGCGAGCGGCGCGACCTTTTGTCGGAGCTGATGAAACGAGGAGCGGCCAGACGAGGAGCGCGCAGCGCCCGTCCCGCGCGAGAGATCAAAGCGGGAGTCGCGCAAACACCGAGCGGCGGAAGTGGCGCGTTGGGTGCCGGAGCACCGAACGCTGCTCATCTCGTCCAGGGAGGGGGGGGGGGGTCCGGGGCGAGAATGAATTCACGCGATCACGAGGGAATGTCTCGCGCTACAGATCCAAAACGTCCAGCGGTCAGCAACAAACTGCGCTGTCAAAGTTGTGCTCGGTAAGAGTTAATCCGTGCCTTGAATTGAGCAAGGTTATTATTGGAACTTGGGGCGAAGAGGGGACGGTGGGAAGAGGGGAATTGCCAAGTGGAGCCGTGCGAGGGAAGAGGCGGAAAGCGAAGAGCCGTGGCCTGCAGTGTCAGAGGGGTGGGTGGAGGTGTCCATGAGTGAATATATTCACATACGCAGCGCACATACACAGTGTTTGAATAAAAAACCCAAACACACACATATGTGTAAATATGCACATATGTGCTAACATACATGTGAAAGAAAAAAAACATAATTATCATGATGCCAATTGTAACGCGCAAAATTTCAACATGACCGTGACTGAGGCGCGTAGCTTAGCGGCGTTCGCAAGCCAAGCTCGAGAGGGGGCGATTCCTCTGAGGGTCTCTAGCGGTGGGGATTGAACGATGATGATGGTGATGATGATGGTGGCCGCGTTCTAGACGACGAGGACTGTCGCGGAGAAACGACGCCCGGCAGTGCATGGTGGTTCTGCTCCTCACGGCGACCGTGAGCGGCAGTGCAGGGGGGTGCAGGAAGATAACGGGGGACGGCCAGAGGAGGAGGCGAGCCGGTGGCAGAGGCAGCAGGAGATGTTGGAGCGGGCTCTGCTGGTGGCGGGGGGAGCTGGGGCAGCGAGCGCTGGGGGTGAAGAACTCTCGTCGAGGGTGACGGCGCGGGCGAGATGCGTGCACAGCCGTACGCGGGCACACGCGCACGCACGTGTGCGAAGACACGCACACACACACTTATTTGAAGATACGCACACATACACATGTAGACAGACACACAGATACAACGATACACACGTTCAGACAGGTACACGTCAACGCACACACATACCCGTACACATGGACATATGCATACACAGACACGTTAAAACAGAAACACGAAGTGAGCTAACCACTACGCCACTACTCTCTATGAAGTACAAAATATATATATCCATTAACATACTGTTGGTAAAAGTTAGCGAGCGCCTATTAAGGCAAGCACGAAAGGAGTGGGGAGACCGTCCACTTTTGCTTCCCAGTGCTGAAGTTTATCCACGCCCCATGTACTCATTTAGGGCTGAGTCAACCTAGGGGAGGCTCAGAAACTGTTTAAAAAATCTCCACTGTTGTTGGTTGTGAGTGAGAATCGAGCTCGGGTCGCCTGTTGACAGCGCAGTACGCTAACGGCTGCGCCACCGCTCCCCACACTGCACCCTACAAAGACGAAGAAGGTCTCTGTTAGCGAACACTTACCATCAATAGTTACACACACGCTGACGCAATTACACACAACAACAGATATACACTTCTAGAAACAAATCACCCACACAAAGACAGACATACTGTACACACACAGTCGTACACGCAGGGTGGTGCACACATACACGCGGAGACACACACAGACATACACGCAGATAGACACACACACACAGAGACACACAGACACTGTGTTTAATCTTCAAGGCACCTCCGTTAATGAGGCGAAATCTCCCTTCTCTTCGCCGCGCCTCCACCCCGTGTCTCCCCACATCGCCATTCATAGCGACACCGCCTTGATTCTCTCTCTCTATCACAAGCTCTCTCTTTCCGCTCCTCTCCCTCCCTTGGCAGAGGCGCGCTTCCCCGGGATGGCCGGCAGGCGAGGAGGGCGGGCGGGGGCCCCACGGGAAGGGCCGCGAGGGCCCGGGATGGCTTGCACCTGTTCATGAAAAAATCCATAGCATCGCGATTTCAATCTCCTTTCCTGTAGCCTCGAGTCTCTGCAGACACACGGAGACGTCACTCCGCATCGTCAAAGCATGCCCACTCCACGGGTGGGCGAAGGCCTCCCCAATCGTTCACGCTCCAGCGATGCGACAATCCACCAGCACACAAACTCATCTCACCGTCGCTCCGTCTCTCGCGCGCGTTGCATTCCTCGGCTGCTATTCCGTTCTTGTATTGACCAGATGCAATCATCCCGTGCAGCTATGACGTCTCCTGTCCAAGCCCACTCGTTTTTCCTAAATGCTTTAACGATATCATAAACATGCGTTTTGATCACATATTAAACATATGTAAGCCTATATACATACATACTTATATACACGTGTACTAAATATGGTCGCCATCAGCATCAATAGCAGCCGTGATGTTTCCACTGCTGGATGAAGACCTCCCGCAAGCCCTGGACTCGTCTCACGATCCCCGCCATGGAACGATTCGCCAAGCATCTGGAGTCGCTGCGAGTGCCCCTGGGGAGATCGCGTCTCCTTGCTTGACTCCGCTTCCCGTTTGTATTTAAACTAAACCATGAAATCACGTGACTTTACCGAAAGAACCAAGGAGTATGGATTCCTGCAATCACGAAAGCTTCAAATCAAGATTAAACGATGAAACTATTTTTTATTTTATGTTACCAGGTAAGGCCCACTGAGCTATTTATCTTTTTTTCAGAAGCGACCAGGCCACAAATGATAGCTCAACGAATTGGATTATCGTGTGGAAATTTATATCCGCCAAATATTCTAAACGCATGTTTCTAAATGTCGACAGAAAAACTGGAGGACCCGGAGTAAAATCCACGCAACCATGGCGAGAGAGAGAGAGAACATGCAAACTCCAAATATACAGCAGCGGGCGTCAGGATCGGGATCGAACCCACGACCTCCTGTATACCAGGCGAGGTAGTTAACATTTCGCCACCGTGGCGTATTCTGCCATCTGAGTGCGCCTGTTTCAGATCTGTGTATTATAATATTTGTGACAATTACTGCATCAGTTTCCACTGAATACATTTCATTTTCACAGTATACACTAAGCGCAGAATTTCGGTAATGGATATTTGGATCTGTATTAATGTCTAGATGGAGAGAATATTAACCGTGTTAGACTGTCTGATGACACAGCCATTATAGAAACCAGATACATTTTACGACAGGGAACTTTACCAGAGAAGGCTCCAACGTGAGACTCAAGATACATTCGAGCAAACCAAGTCACACGAAACAAGTTCGCTAACCACACGCGAATCATTGCTGGAAGGACACAACACATGGAAAGGCCACTGAGTTTGTATACCCAGGAAAATTATTGAAGGCGGACCTGGCTCAAAGTGATGAAAGATGCGGATGGAGGGGTGCTTTTGGAAAAAAAAGGAATTCGATCATGAAAGCATTGAAGCCAATATACTTATTAAAGGAGAAAGTTTTCAATCAGTGCGCATGGCACAGTGCCGAGCTACAGACCTCGCGTCACCGCCGCGGTCACTTCAATGGGAAATCCTCCCCCCCTCCCCGGCTCTTTCCTTGCGCCCAGCTCCGCTCCCTCCTCCCTCACCTGTTCGCGGCGTCCCTACAGCCGCGATGGGTAACGCGCTCAGTTACATCGGACACGGGAGTGAGAGCAGGCGGGAGGACGGGCGGGCACACTTAAGGAAGTGACGGATTGATGATCTACTACCCGAGGCAGCGAAAGGGGAAACACTCCATTCGACGGGCACGTCCAACTGAGTGGACAAAGACGGTACGAACCCGACGCACGAACTCAAAGAAGAATGAATACGGGCGAACTGATGTACGGCCGCCTTGCCAATCCACTAAGCGATGGCAGCTTAGAATACTGCACCCGAAAGCACCCGACTCGCACAAGAGAGTGACAGACAGATGGAAGGACGGACGAAGGGATAGACGTGAATCGCTGTCAAATAAAACCCAGATCATTCCCGAACGGCTCCGCTCCCCTTGGAGCTCCTTAAGGTCAGGAGGTCAACTCGAGCGGCTGATCACAGGGGTCGCAGCCCGGGCCTTCTCGGAGCGCGCCTCCCCCCAGTGGCCGCTGCCGAGGCGACCGCTCACGTCTCGAGCTGACGGCTCCTTAATTAAAGGGAGACGCGGCTAAAGAAAACATCTAACAGCTCTGATCTTGTAGCTACGCACCAAGGCTGTGCGTCCAGGGCTGTCTCACTCGAGTCGGAAACATCGTCGACGGATAACAAACAAACCCAGAAATACAAGTAGAGACACACATCGAGAGAGTAACGCTCGCGACGAGTAACACTCGCAGAGAGTAACACAGGAACAGCCGCCATTCGCAACGAAGTGGCAGTGACGTCATCACGGGGCTTGTGCCAAGCTAGGTGCATATTGTACTCACTTGAAGTGTCAAAGGCTCGCTGACAAGAGGTCACAGGAGAGACCCAGGTCCCATGGGCTCACTGACAGAGATGACTGGCAGATGTACCGTCTGGGCTCCAACTTGCTGCGTTTTAGCCACCCGGTGCTCCACTCATTTTTGTGAGTGTCGCTCCTCCACCCTCTGCTGTTGTTGAAGGGCGATTTGCCTCCAACTGTCCAGTAGCGTCCTTCACGAACATTCTCCGCCACAGAGGCCGATCTTGACACCGCTGGTGCCCGTTATTGGCAAGTCCACAGGTCGAAATAACCTCTTGTAGTACATCAGTCCATCTCTTCTCCAGCCCATGCCGTGCCTATTTAGCTCCTTCTATCCATCCTAATAGAAGCTGATTGGGCTTGCGGTGGCTGAGCCTGCGGGCTACATAACCCAGTCTATGCAGCCTTGCCTACTGGAGGAGTTAACTGATGCCACTGTGTTCATGTATCTCGAGGACATGTGAGCTCCTCTCGCAATCCAGACTGGTTTACCCAGAGTGGATCGAAGGCAGGCCACACAGAATGTTCCAAACTGCGACTCCACCGTGGTTTTTGGTAACGTCAGTGTAAACGGTGGAGGGGTTACCAGTCACTCGCACGCACCATAAAGTAGATACACGAGGACATAGAAGGCATCGACGCAGAGGTCCTTAATCAACGCAAGGCACGTAATCTTTTGACGAGCAAGTTTTCTTAGCAGGTTTCCCAGCTGTATTTCTGGAGCGGATGAGATAAGATATGTCTGGGTTGAGCCCAAGGGCCTGGTCCTCCTGACTGGATACTTGTCGTACCGGGGCCACGTCTGTCAACCATAGCAAGGAAGGTGTTTCTGGAAAAAAAGCCCAAGCGGTCCGCATTATAGGAGTCTCACAGACCAAAGAGGGGTCAGAATTGGAGATGTTGTGGAGAAAGGCCTGATGGTCAAAATATTTCAATAAGCGTTTAAATATAATCTGACGTGGAACTTTAAGCAGTTTTGTAGTTCAAATGCAAAATATAATTGAGTGGTCACTAAGATGATTTCTCAGGACACCCACTTTTACGAACTTTTCTGAAGCATTTGGCATAAGGACATCGAGGATTGATCATTGTTCAGAGTTGTTCTGTATTCGGACGCGTCGGTGAACATTCAGCCAGACACCAACACCCGCCATTCGCCACGAAGTGACGGGGACGTCACCATGGCGCCTGTGCCAGGCCAGGTGCACTTTGAAGCCACGTGAAGTGTCGAAGGCTCGTTGACAGGAGGTCATGGGACAGACCCAGCAGGTGCCATGGGTTGTCTGACTGAGATGACTCGTAGATGCACCAGCTGTACCCCCTACTGTGTCAACTTGCTACATTTGATCGGCCCGGCGCTCCGATCGTTGTTGCGAGCGTCGCTCCTCTGCCGTCAGTTGTTGTTTGAGGGCGACTGCTTCCAACTAACCAGTAGCATCCTTCACGAGCCTCCGATCTTGACACCGCTGGTACCAGTCTTCGGCAACTCCACTCAGTTCCACATCCTCCCGTACCGCATGAGTCCATCTCTGCTCCAGCCCATGTCGTGCCCGTTTAGCCCCATCTATGCCGCCACACACAGCCAGTCACACACAAAACCACACACAGCCGCACACACAACCACACACAGCCAGACACACACACACAACAACACACAGCTACACACACACACAACCACACACAGCCGCACACTTACACCGCGTCTCAGTCCTTCCGTCTCCGCCCCACCCGGCGCCCTTTGACCCCGTCGTTCCTCGGCCTCGCTATGATAATGAGCCGAGCTGAGCGCATGCAGATCGCGACTCATTCACAAACTGGTCACCCCCCTCCGCCTCTCACGGAGTGCCCTCCCCTCCCCCTCACCAGACCAGCCTCGAACGCTTCCTCTCATCTCACAGCAAGCCATTGTCATGCTAATCCAAGGCAACTTGACTTTCATTTATTTGAGAGAGTCCTTATTTTAATTACCGCAAGCACATCTATGCCGCGATTATGAGCCGTGTGGAAATCCAATCGCGCTGATTGAAAAGTGACAATTCTGGTGAAAACAATGATGACGATGATGATGGAAAGGAGAATGATCCCACGGGATTACGCTTCGACAGCGCAGGCGGCCCGCACGGAGCCTTCCTCCCGACCGCGTGTCGAGCCGGGCGTAGGGCAGCAACAATGTGGCGGACACACAGAGGGAGAGACATACACGGGGTGGCCGAGACGCGTGGACAATCTTCACCCGCTAGCCACAGCATGCCCCGAAGGCGCGTGGGGACACTGTCGAAGTTGTGGGGAAGCGCGCAGGCATGGGTGGGGGTACACGTGGAGAGACCGGGGGGGGGGGCACACACGAAAGCTAATCATTTAGGGGGCATAGCATATGGCTACCCCCCCCCCCACACACACATAGAGACCCCTCCTTCCTGACAGCTGCCACTCCCACCCCGCCACCTGTGTTCCCACGCCCATGACATCGCGCGCGTCTCCTCGCGTCCCGCGCGCGCTGCCCCCGTGCAATGGCAGCGAGAGTCGCCCCCTCCACCCCCCTCGCCGAGTCGGCGCGGTCAGAGCCGCTTCCGCCCGTCAATGCGACGTCTGTGGCCATCACCGCCCGTGTCGACCTCACCCCGACTGCCCTTCCTCCACCCCTCCCTCTCCTCCCCAGTCAATCCCTGCCCCCCATCGTGACCTCCCGAGACCCTGGGCAGTAGAGGTTCTAACCTCTCCGCACCCACCCGCTCCGCGTAGACCCTTCCTCGGCCCGGTCACCTGTTCTAGCGACGATAACTCCACGGGCGAGCGATTCTCACAATGGCCACAGTGAGAGGGCGATGCGTTTTCCTCCTTCTCTCCTGCCCGCGTTTC